TTGTTATTATTGTTATTATTTCTATTTCTTTTTATTTTATATTTTTTTTATTATCTATTGTGTTGTATCTGGATCTGTAACAGTGTGGGATCAATAAAGTTGATCTGATCTTTATGGATGATATTGATCAGAATACACTGTGTCTCCACTACAGAAACACTAGCTAACTGCTAAAGTCTGATAAGGTTGTCTGACGGTATTAGTTTGATTGATGCTTTAATAAGGTGAGTATTGATTACTGATCAGGCTGATCAAGATCAATATTCCGGGATCAGGACCCAGATATTAATGTCTGTTTTACTAACAGATTTAATTTGTGACAGATTTAGAGGATGAAGACGAGGAAGAAGATGATGATGGTGGTTCCTGCAGCTCTAACTGACTCCTGTTGGTTTCTGCTGACTCTTCTTCTCCTCCTCCGGACAGGAAATACCAGCAGAGCAGCAGATTAAAATGACAAGACGCAGCAGAACGCTCGTCCTCTCTTACACAACAGAGCGCAGAGGTCACAGGACCCAGCAGGACCCTGAATGCCACATAAATGAAAAACAGCAGATGTAGCCCAAAGACATTTATCAACACTTTGAGCTGAATCTGCATCCACACAAACACTCTGAGCTTCGTTTGACCATTGACCTTTAAAGTCCGACACGAGGAGGCGCCTCGTAGACGACACCGAGAACGGACGCATTCATCTCTCTTCAAACTGAACTCAGAGACTGTGGCTTCATCCTGAAAGAATCTGCTGGAAAACAAACGCTGCGAGAGCAGAGAGGCTGCGAGAGACTCTTCACACCTCACATCTGAAGCCTTCTGGTTTCCATGACGATGAGCTGAGGAGCCAACAGGCTTTGAGTCGAAGACAAAAACCACCAGAACATTTAATTAATGTGCTCAGCTCCTTAAACAGCTCAGAGGATTCCTGAGAGCACCAGGAATTAGACTGAACCCACTGCTGCACAGAGAGCAAACACCAAAGAACATTAATATAATACATATATATAATAATATATTATAATATCATATAATATAAATAATATATATAATAATATAAATTATAACACAGCTGTGAGTCTTCCAGCTGAACGCTCTGGCTGGGGTTTAAAGCAGGTGAGCTGTTGTGGGTCTTCCTGTACAGCTGATGGTTACAGCAGCTTTAATCAAGCATTGAACACATTTCCTCCAAACTCTCAGGGAAAGACCAGAAAAACAGACTCAGTGTGAAACTAAAGGGACTGATACTTTAAACAGCAGCTGAGGGGTCACCATGGCAACGGCTGAGACTTCCTGAAGACTTCCAGTAAACGCTGAATCTCACAGAAGTGAAAGAGAAAACTGGGAAAGTCCCAATCAAATCACATTCCAACACGCTCTGGGACAGAAGTGAAGAAATAAATATCTTTATTAAAAGCACACAACGAGAGACTGAACACATTCAACTCACACTGGACAGAAATACAGCAGATAATTCATTATAAACACATATAAACAATGTGGTTCTGTACGCAGAAACACTGAAGATGCAACAGTACCAAACCAACAGAGACACTTAAAGTTCCTCCTCCGTCCCTGGAGAGTTGCAGTGGGAAGCTGGACCCAAAGCTCTGGTTCAGCAACGAGCACGTAAAGGGACAGTGAACACTTAAAGTGACAGTAAGCACTTAAAAGTTGCACAGCTGCTAAAAAGTCACTGATTCCAAAAACAAATAAAGAGCTGCAAGGCTGATTAAATGACGTTAGCTGCTGTTAACGGTAGGGGACCACCTGTATTTCTCAGGATGGACTGTTAGAGCCACATGTTGAGGACTGGTAACCACAGACTAGGAGGTGGTAGCCACATTTTGGGTTATTGCAAGTTGGTAGTCACTTGTAGGAAGGTTGTAGCCACATGTTGAACACAGGTAAAAACATGTTGAGGACTGGTAGCCAGATGTTGGTAGTGGCAGCTACATGTTAAGATATTGCAAGTAGGTAGCCACGTGTTGAGAAGTGGTAGCCGTAGTAGTCACAAACAGGGACGTGGTAGCCCAGCAATGGATTGTGGAAATAATTTCAGGGGGTAGCATGTAGTAGTCACATGTTGGAATACTGAAATCACATGTTGCTAATTAGTAGCCACACATTGGGAGGTCAAAACCACGAGTCAGCACATGGTAGGTACAAAGTCACATATTGGGAGATGGTAGCCACGTGTTGGGAGGTGG